CCCCGTCTATCCCATAAACCTGGTTAATTTTCCCCATCTTGCCAAGATTATTCCAGAATGTTGGGTTAGTTCACTATAGGAGATTATGGGATACATGTACAACGGTTTCGCTTTTTAGATTTGGGATATTTTATTGCCATAGTGAAAGTAAAATGGACAAAATGCTGTCCTCAGATGCTGAGATCCATCGATGTGTACACGTCTCTTGCTCTGGATTTATTTTGTAGTTCAGTCCCCACCAGCCAAACAACTCTTAGCTCTTTTATTTAGTACAAATTGTTTGTCTTGTAAGTCAATGTTACCATAGTGTAGATTTTTAACAAATTCTTTTACAGTTACTAAACCAAGGAGATTTAACTGAAAGACGGACATGAGTGTGGGCGCTGATTCCGGAAGAGCAACTCTGTCTGGTCCCAGAGAGCTCACAGTGGGAATAGGATGCTGACGGATCATGGACTGCCAGAACCAAAATGTATCTGTGAAGGACAGAAGTCCGCTTTTGCCTCTGTTCGTCTTCCTTGGCACACAGGACGAATGTCAGAAGGCTTCTCGTCAAACTGCCATCTGCCCCAGCGAAGGAACGAAGCAGTGGGTCTCCATCTTTGACTAACTATACCCGCCTCTTGTCTCACTGCGAAATTTTGTGATGGACTTCTCCCAAAAGTGAATTTGGTTAGGCCTTGGCTCAAATTTCTGACTGGTGAGGGGAAATTTTCCTTTGATTGAAGCCTCAACTGTCTTTTCAAATGGAGCAACTAAAGTCTTGCTGCTGCAAACCATAAACTTCCAGGAAGATGAGCTTTCAAGATGCCTTGTTGCTTTGGAGAAGGGAGTCAAGGTGTGACGTTCTCCCTTTAGCAACCTGAGTACAAGACTCTCTGCCACTGGGCTGCAAACAAAGGAATTACTTGAATCCTCCCTTGGCCCAGGGCCAGGGTTTCTCTTTTGACCTCTACACCCGGACTAGGTCACTTTGCTTTCCTTCGGTTATGGAGTATAGTAAGTAGCATGTTCAGACATTTTGTTATGCTTTGTTTTAATTTAAAATGATTAAGAAGCTTCGATTGTTTTCCCTTTAAATAAACAAAACAGCCCAGTCAGTTCTTTGCCTCTTTGTTTTGGACAAAATTTATTTTCTTAAAAAGGTGATTAAGGAAAATGCTCCATTTTTTCCTTTTAGATAGGACACTGGTTTACCCTTAGGATATCTTGAAAGTAAAAGTGAGCTCAGGAGTTTCAGAAACATGATAAGGAATTTCCCCATCTTTGAGTATTCTGCAGACACAGACAGGAGTCACCAGAGTGTCACTCTGTCACCATCCAATAAAGAATGTCCCAGGCTGGAAAGATGGCAGTAATAACAGAGACACTTCTTCATTTTCCCACAAAGGTGCATCTCTCAGGGTAGTGAGCCTTCTTTCATCCTCTCTAAAGCTACGGAGAGAGACTGTTTAACTAGTCTCAAGGAAAAAAGACTGCCTACTAATAGAGAATCATGGCTGTCAGGAAAGTTTTGTACTTATTTAAAATGAACTTCATCCCAAGATACACACAGTACACATTCTAAACAGGGTAACAGGAAAGCATGAACTGACTTAAAATAATTATACTTATTAACTCATTAATAACATGCATAATCATCTTGTACTGTACAGATTGAATTCATAGCAATTACTTATATTCTTACTAATTTCATGCTTGAGGAATGCTTCTAACCAGAATCAATTGAGACAAACCCCAGGGGACGTTTGGCAATGTCTGGAAGTATTTCTAGTTATTAGAATTTTTTTT